ATTTTTATTGGTATTGCATTGAATCTATGGAACAATTTAAGGAAAGCTGAAATCTGTATAAATAGTGAGTATTCCACAGGATGCCTGGGTGGCTCACTTGGTTGAGCTTCTGACTCTTGATCTCAGCTCAGGTCTTGATCTCAGAGTCATGAGTTCAAGTCTCGTATTTGGTTTCACACTGGGCATGGAACCTACTTAAAAAAATAGCGAGTACTCCAATATATAAACAATATACCTTGGTATTTATTTAGGTCTTATTTAATGTCTGAATGATGTTATTCTATCATACTTTTGTTAGATTCTTTTCCTATCTTTGGGTGATTTTTTTTTAATGGTTTATTTAAATATAAACGATATAGATGTTTATATAATTGTATTTTTCAAAAAAATTTTTTAAGTTTATTTTTATTTATTTTGAGAGAGAGACAGAACATGCACGGGAGGAGCAGAGAGAGAGAGAGAAAGAGAGAGAGAATCCCAAGCAGGCTCTGCACCATCAGCGCGACTGAGACTGAGCCTCCTAGGCCTCCCTAACTGTAGATGTTGATTTTGTGTCTAGTAACTTCCACCAGCTTTCTTATTATTTCTAATAATTTGTAGATTTCCTTTGATGTTTAATGTTTATAATCATTTCATCTGCAAATGACTGTTTTGTTAATTCTTTCTTAATCCTTATCTTTCATTTCTTTTTCTTGCCTTATTGCATTGGTGAGGATCACCAGTACAGTGTTGAGAAGAAGCAGTGATATGTGGCATCCTTGCCTTGTTCTGGATTGTAAAGGATAAATTCAGTGTTTTGCCAAAAATGTAGGCATCTATGTGTTTTTCAGATCCCTAATTGATTTAAACTTGCAAAGTGACAAGAACTGTTAATATATAGTTTTTTTTTAAGATTAAAAAAAGTTTTTTAAGTTTATTTTTTTTAATGTTTTCTTTTTTTAACATTTACTTATTTTTTGAGAGACAAAGAGAGATAGAGTATGAATGGGGGAGGAGCAGAGAGAGAGGGAGACACAGAATCCGAAGCAGGCTCCGGGCTCTGAGCTGTCAGCGCAGAGCCTGATGCAGAGCTCGAAACCGTGGACAGCAAGATCACAACCCAAGCTGAAGTCAAACGCCCAACTGACTGAGCCACCCCGGCGCCCCTAATATATAGTTTTAGTAGTTACTGATGATCAGTAGCTAGATAGATTTTTCATCAGGGGTTGGTTAATGGTAATGATCTAATTCTATAATTTTTTTTGCTTTTGTTAGCTGAAAGTTTTCAATAAAGAAACGCATTCTCTCTCATCAGTTATTTGGTTTCCCTGAGATATATTTCCTATGAGGAAGGCATGATTAAAGCTTGTGTTTTTTCCCCTCTACTTAACTTTTGTCAGAATAACGAGTTGCTTCCTGCAAATCCTCCATGAAGTTCAATGAATGTTGTTTTGCTTTTACTATCCTTTTGAAGTCATGAATTTAAACTCAACTGAGGGGCGCCTGGGTGGCGCAGTCGGTTAAGCATCCGACTTCAGCCAGGTCACGATCTCGCGGTCCGTGAGTTCGAGCCCCACGTCGGGCTCTGGGCTGATGGCTCAGAGCCTGGAGCCTGTTTCCGATTCTGTGTCTCCCTCTCTCTCTGCCCCTCGCCCGTTCATGCTCTGTCTCTCTCTGTCCCAAAAATAAATAAACGTTGAAAAAAAAAATTTAAAAAAAAAAAAAATAAAAAAATAAACTCAACTGATGCTATGTTGGTTTCCTATGGCTGCTGTGACAAATTACCACAAACTTGGTGCTTTATAACAGCAGAAATTTATTCTCTTACAGTTCTGGAGGCCAGAAATCTGAAATCACTGGGGCTGAGATCAAGGTGTCAGCTGGGCAGTGCTCCCCCGCAAGAGGCTCTAGCAGAGAATCTGTTTCTTCCATCTTTCAGCTTCTGCTGCCTGCCATCATTCCACATCACTCCACTCTCTGCCTCTGTGGTCAGATTGCCTTCTCCTCTTCTGTGTCTGATCTTCCTCGACCTTTCTTTTATAAGGACACTTATGGTTATTATAATTTTTTTTTTAATTTAATGTTTTAATTTGTTTTTGAGAGAGATAGACAGAGTGCGAGCCAGGGAGGGGCAGAGAGAGAGGGAGACACAGAATCCAAAGCAGGCTCCGGGCTCTGAGCTGTCAGCACAGAGCCTGACGCAAGGCTCGAACCTGTAAACTGCGGGATCATGACCTGAGCCAAAGTAGGATGCTTAACTGACAGCCTCCCAGGCACCCCAGTAAGGATACTTGTGATTGTATTTAGGGCCCACTCTGATAATCCAAGATAATCTCCCCATCTCAAGGTCCTAAATGAATTTCATTTCATTTTATTTCATTTCACTCCATTTTATTTCATTTTATAGAGAGAAAGAGCACTAGTGGGGGAGAGGGGCAGAAGGAGAGAAAGAGAGTGAGAGAGAGAGTGAGAGGATCTTTTTTAAAAAAATTTTTTAACATTTATTTATTATTGAGAGACAGAGCACGAGCGGGGGAGGGGCAGAGAGAGAAGGAGACAGAGAATCCGAAGCAGCCTCCCATGAACCGTGAGATCATGACCTGAGCCGAAGTCGGACGCTTAACTGACAGCCACCCGGGCACCCCACGTTATTTTTGTCTTGTTTTTGCCCCCTGACATAATTCTCCAATATACCACCAACTTTTACACCCAGTTAGATCTATTTGAGCGAGTTTCTTTTAAAAGTTGTAGGGGTTGGGGCACCTGGGTGGCTCAGTCGGTTGGGCGTCCGACTTGGGCTCAGGTCACGATCTCGCAGTCTGTGAGTTCGAGCCCCGCGTCGGGCTCTGTGCTGTTGGGTCATGAGCCTGGAGCCTGCTTCGGATTCTGTGTCTCCCTCTCTCTCTCTGCCCCTCCCCTGCTCATGCTCTGTCTCCCTCTCTCTGGCAAAAATAAACAAACATTCAAAAAAATAAAAGTTTTAGGGGTTGATTTCTTAAAATTTATTTAAATACAATATTTTCAGAGTTCCGAAGTCAGAACTGAAAAAGAAGGTAGGGGGGTACCTGGCTGGCTCAGTCAGTAGGGCATGCGACTCTTGATCTCAGGGTCTTGACTTCAAGCCCCATATTGGTCATGGAGGTTACCTAAGAAGGTACATTTAGTGGGGTCCAACTTGTGTCCCTGTTGCCACTGGTTTCTCCCTGATAGGTAAGCTATTTTTTTTAAGTTTTGATTTATCCTCACATATTTTTTGAAAATATGAACATAATATGATTTATAATTCCCCTCTTTTCTTTTGCATGAAGAGACGTATTAAACATTGTTCAGCCCTGTTTTTAAACTTCTATCCTGGCCATCACTTGGCGACAGGATATAGAGCTCTTTCTCCTTCCTTTTTCTAGTTGTGTGGTACTCAGTTCAGTGGCTGTATCATAGAAATTCAGCTTACTTTCTGTTGGTATACATTTTGGTTATTTCTACTCTTGCTATTATAAATAGGGCTGCGGGGCGCCTGGGTGGCTCTGTCGGCTAAGCCTCCGACTCTTGATTTCTGCTCAGGTAATGATCTCAAGGTTGGTGAGATAGAGTCCCCCTTCCGGCTCTACACTGACAGCACGGAAGTTGCTTGGGATTCTCTCTCTACCTCTCTCTCTGCCCCTCTGCCCCCCCCCCGCCCCCC